GTCCCTTAGAAGAAGTACTAGCCCTTGGACAAGATCACACTGGGAGTAGTGAGGAATGGTAATATCTACCATTACCTTCCCACTCCTCAATCCCTCTTAGTACCTTCTGTTCACTTTTAACTGCTGTCCTCCTCCCCTTCTTGAAACGTCACTGAACTTTCAACCCTCGAAACACAGCTCTCCAAAGGTGCTTTACTCTTCTCAGCAACCAACATCCCTACTTACTTTTGGAACATCTTCTGTCATCATTGCAAAACTGAATTTTGCCATTACCAAGACAAAATTAGTTACCTTGTTTCTTTTCTTGGCATTACATTTTTGCGATTACAACTCTCCTCCAAGAGAAATTCTTTTCATTCTAGGGTGTTCAGCATGTAACCACTAGAGCCAGTATTTACTTATTCAGCCATTTATTTTATTGAGATTACTATGACATTGTTTGAATCTAAAATCAAAGATCTTAAGATACATTATGAAATACTATGAAGCTTAATTCAATCCTGAAAACAAGAAACTACATGAAGGGGGTGGGGAGCAACAGCTAGGACACATCACTTTAAATACTAAAAGAAAGACGGGAAAAAAATCAAAAGGATCCAAACGCATAAAATCAGGCATCATCACATTCAGCCACGTTATTTAGCATTCCTATTTCAACACCATATGAATACAAGCAAATTTTTACATGTATTAGGTGCAATTTTTGAAATTCATATTATGTTCAGTCCTAAATTTTAAGTACATCAAAATCACTGTTTGTACAATTCTACTTAAAGGCAAAATTGTATGATGAATCTAGCGTTAACAAAGTTTTAACTCTTATATGCCTTACAAAGTATATTAAAGTTTTGAAGCATCATCTCCAAAAAAAAAAAAAAAAGGAGACAGACAACCAAGTATGCATTCTGTCTTATATTAAAGTGTGTGATATATAGGTCTAATATATAAAAACCCCAAATTAATAGTCAATATTAATCAGAATAAAAATTAACTCATCTCTCAGAATTAGGAGGGAAGAAATTAGCCCAAAGTCTCAAGTTTACCTTTTCCTGTCTTTACTTAACTGCACTTAAAGTGTTTTCCTCATAATTTGAAGCTTTATAATTGAAATGTGACATCTGATGTACTGAAATGAAAAAATTCAACAAACAGCAACAGTTACAGAATAAATAAATGAAACAACATCTAATAGCAGCAATGATTGTACTTAGCTTACCATGCCATTTAATCCCAGCTAGGTGTTACTGCATGACCTAGTGAAGTTTCTTTGGATCATTACATACTCATCTGTCAATGTTTTCTTCAGTATAAGCCTCCTGTCCTACCTTTCTAAAGGATTATTTAAACAGGGAGTCTAGCTGACCTGCTTTTTTACACACAAAAATATCACTCAAAATGAAATCAAAGTACTAACCTAATTCATTTCTAATCATGATTTTTTGCAACAACAGGAATATTACTAAATAAAATAAGCACATTAAAGTCACTTTTTCAATAAAAATTTAAAAAACATTCCATAAAAACAGGCAGAACAGAAACAAAGGATTCCAAAAGAAAACACTTTCGGTGCTTTCAAAACAACTATAGATTTGTTAAGTTAGAAGAATAGATGTCAGTTGCCAAAAGAAAAAAGAGTCTATTTCAGAAAGAAGGATCACACCACATTAACTATATTGTTCTTCAAAAAAACAGCCTACTTAACTTCCAGAAAGGGTTGATGATGGGAAAAAAATGCATATAACCGCAACTAGAATTTTCCAGCAGCAGTGCAGCATTACTTCAAATGCAACCATGTGGTAAATCAAAGAAATAGCAGAGGAAAAGTATGATCCAATTCTTAGTGAATCATCAAAACCAGTTGTCTGTAGATAGACCAAACATCCGAAGTCTTATCAGCTAAACAATCTGTGCAAAGAATTAAGTTCCTACTCAGAGCACTAGAACCCAGGCACAATTTTCCCTTCTCAAATTAAATGTTCCCTCTCTGATTTGCAAATAAGAGAACATCAACTCCTAAATAGGAGTATTCATTTTGCTATTGATGTTTTTTCACTATATTACAAATTGGGGTTTGATAGTTTCAAAATGCAGCATTTATTCGTTTGTACAACATATTGCAATGGGGCCGCAGCAAAATTGTAGATTTATAGGTTTAAAATAACCACTAAATCTACATTATAGTCAAAAACATGCATTACCTACTAGCATTAAATGTCTTGAAAATATGCAGCACTTCACATTTAGAGAAAAGCTGAGGTGTTAAAAGTTGAAATGAATGTGATCAAAAAAAGGGAAAAAATAAGACTGACATAGCAACAAAAAAAAAAAGAAAAATCAAGACATACATTTGCACCTGTTTCCTTCCTGTCTAAATAAGCAAGGAATTATAAGGCTAACATTGCATTTATGCTACTGTATGGTTGTTACACTGCACACAAGTCAAGAAAACTAAAATTACACTTCCCACAGCAATTTTAACTCAGCTACATTTCGTATGCAAAGAAGTTAGAATTACAGTATGTTATCCTGCCTCTTAAATACTACAAAGACGGAAGTGGGAATGTGGGAATCATAACACTAATTTTACCAGCTTGTATGAATTCAAGATCTCAGAGAGACAATTGCATTAAATATCCAAACAATTCTATAATACTAGTTAATAGCAATTTGTTTATTCTATTTATGAACCCACTGCGGCCCCTTTACTGTCTCTTGTTGTAATAACATATGGAAACAACATTAAGAATGTGAAAATACTACATGCTCTGTTCAATCTTGATTTTCTAAAGCTAATTTTAGTTAGACAAAACACAGAACTTTTTACTTTTCTCTTTTACACAAGGATAAATGTGGCAACACTCCATTGTCATCTATTGGTTAGACTTGGAATTCTGCCCCCCGATTAGGAACAGTGATTATCGCTCCCCTTCAGTTCTTCTATTTTCAGTACTACCAAATTAAGTATAAGGCTTTTTTCACACCTACGATGAAGAATGTTTGTGACTAGTCCAGAACACAATTCACTTCATCAGCATGCTAACCCAGCTCAGAGAAAACATCTGTAATATGCTTTATGTTCCTACCTTTTTTTTCCAAAATATATTTTTTATATCAAAAAACCTGAAAGCATATTTTATTGAAGCAATTTTGTGACAACAAACCTGTGGTAACATAACTGTTACCCTTAACTGAGGCAGAAATCAATAGGAAGAGATGAAAAAAAATTACTGGCTTAGTTGACAAAGATTAATGAAATCTTCTCTCAGGACTAAGCACAATAGCTTCACAAAAAAAGAAGGGAGTCTAATCTAAATATCACCTTGTTAAAGATCTGACTAACTGACTGGCTCTATTACCTCCAAACTAGCTTTTGAGAATGTCACAAGTGCAGGAAGTCAGTTAATTAGTAAATATAAAGGTGCAGGAAATAATGCATGTTCATGTAAAAAATAGTTAGAACTATCTCATGAGGCATTTGTTTTACATATTATACTCAAATATTAACACAGAAATTTAATTTAAGAGGAATTAAGTCAATGCACACCTACAGCTTACGATGTCTGAATCACTTCAGTTGGAAGTCTTATCCTGAGACTTCCCAAAGCTATGCCAGAGTCACCACTACAGTCTGCTTTCAAGATTTTCAAGTTAACAGCACTAATAACCAGCTGTTTCTACTGGAAAAAGAAATGCTAGCGAGACAGACATCTGTACTGTGTAGCTGCCAGATTTACTCAGTGTGTGGCCACAGGTGTTGACCCTAGTGTTGTAGAAGCCAAAGGAGAAAGACAAAAGGAATTGGCATTAAAAGCTGTACTAACAGAAGGCATCCAATATTCAAGTTTCAGGAAAGTAATTTTAACTGTCAACTCTTAGAAGCATGACTCACTTTTCTTCTCTGATTTGATTCTGGCTATATCCAGAAGACAACAAGAGGAAGTAAATGAGGTTTTCTACAAAGTATGACCCTTTCATTGCCGTTCTTGAAAACCATAGTACCTCAGAGGTATGATACAGACAGACTGATACTTGCAAACCTCAGTAACATTTCCACTACTTAAATACTTCTGCTTGAGGAGCATCATGAAAGTATTAAAAAATAAAATCCACTAATTCTACTGTCAAGAGTTCATGATGATCATTAACTTCAGCCAGTATGATACTCCATAAATCAGAAGGTTTTTAAGCAAAACATTTTTATAACATAGCTAAGCAAACATTTCTTTCATTGAGTAGGATCTTACACACATGAACAAGAAAAAAAAAGAAAAAAGAGTAGATGATTATATTATGATAAGTTCTAGGAAGTACTGCAGCTAGTATTTCAATAAATTATTACAGCAACCCTTAAGTACAAATGGGAAACAATGCAGTAGCTACATAAAAACCATCCACAGCAGCAAAAAAATTAAATGAAGCTGAATTATCAACAAGAAACTTTTGAAATGTTGTAAGCCTATAATATTTAGTTTGTCCTGCTATAACACTGGAAGAATACTGAAAATGTCAATGAAAAATTTTTCTTGTATGTGAGACTTGTATTTAATGAACAGTGTTGATTTTCGCAATGGAAGCAATTTCAATTCCATTGCTTAGCATCTAATTACACTTTACAGATTTTTATTACCCAAACTATCCCATATTCAAGTCAGCTAATACTTTACAAATAATTGGCCACAGCTACTCTAGAACATGCTAAGTCATGCTGTTAAACACACATCTACTGTGCAAAGTGGTTTTTTTTCATCTGTTCTACGAAATAGATCATAATAAGGATAAGTGATCCGAGTTAGAACAATGTACTTATACAAGTGGGCTAGTAAACTTATATTCCCACTAATGTCAAAAGTAAGGCTCTGATCTAAAGACCTTAGAAATTCCTTAAATTCAAAAGGCTTTGGAGCAGGCCTGTAGACACTTAACAGAGTATTTGTCAGACATAAATATACTCTATACAAAACCCTCTGACAAAGATTAAGATACTACAAGAAAGAAATTACCTGGAGCGTCTTGTAATGATCTTGATGTGAAATTACTTTTTCTTTTTTTTCCTTCAAGAAATCCGTTTCTAGAATACTATGTTTTTCCAGTAAATATTCTAATTTCTATAAAGTTTACAAAATAAAAAACATTAAGTTACAAACATTTGCAATTGTGAAAATACAGATTCAGTTGATCATTCCAACTAACTTCATTTCTGAAGACAATGACATTTGCTATCATAATATACACAGAGATAAAGGGTTGTGCAAGAAAACTCTGATTACAGTCCTTAGATTGAGACAATATTTTCAAGAAGTACAAGATATTTAAAATATAAGGCATGTCCTGGAAAGCACGTCATATGAGCAGTGGCTAAGGTCACTGGGTTTGTCTGCTTTGGAGAAAAAGACGCTGAGGGGTGACCTCATGGCTCTCTACAGCTTCCTGAGGAGGGAAAGTGCAGAGGGGGGTGCTGAGCTCTTCTCCCTGGGATCCAGTGAGAGGATGTGTGGGAATGGTTCAAAGCTGCGCCAGGGGAGGTTTAGACTGATCATTAGGAAGCATTTCTTTACCGAGAGGGTGGTCAGACACTGGAACGGCCTTCCTGGAGAGGTGGTCGATGCCCTAAGCCTGTCAGTGTTTAAGAGGCATTTGGACAATGCCCTTAACTACATGCTTTAACTTTGGGTCAGCCCTGAAGTGATCAGGCAGTTGGACCAGATGATTGTTGTAGGTCCCTTCCAACTGGAACTATTCTATCCTATCCTAATTATTTCCATATTTCTAATAGCTTGTTCTGTCTTTCTGCATTTGAAAAACAGCATATTAAATGTACTTTTAGGAAATGGTTTCACTAAAAAGGCAGAAATCCTATTACATACAGCCCTAATGATCTTTACCTACATCTCCAAAATGAATAAAATTCTAAAATATTTTGTGATCTTGTAGAAGCCTGCCCAGCATGAACTAATAGAGAGGAAGGAGAATGACACTACTGACAATAAACTTCAGAATTATTTGCTATACAAAGAGGTAATTTTTTTTTTCCTTAATGCAGCTGTTGCTCCTACCAAATTCATTCCTACTATACATAAGCAGTTGGAACTCTTTCAGTTGCTCAGGAACAACTACTTCTGCAGCCACGCAGGAAGCCAGTATAGAAACAAATGACCTGTCAGATCACTGGACAGCTATTCAAACAAAGGCACAACTGAGAGGGTCATAAGGAGGACAGAAAGAGCAGGTCTGCTTAGTTCAGTCCTGCTTTTGGACAAAATAATAAAAACAGTTCTTACAATTCGAAGTCTTTGATTCAACTGTAGAGATAGAAACTGCAACACTTCAATTCAGAGCCTAGCTCTCAACCTGTCTCCTCTTACAGTCTGTTTTCATGCTCCCCTTCCAGCCCTCCTCTATACACTTAATTCCTAAGCAAAATCAATCCATACCAGACCTCCTCGTCTTTGGCTCTGGTTACTCATCCTCATTTTCATTTCCAACAAGCCATTTCCTCCTTCCCTAGCACACCTTGATAGCTATCAAGGAACAGCATTAAGAACAGCAGAAATTAAACTTACTTTCCCATGCCTCAGTGACCTTTTGCTAACTCAGACACATAACTACAGGCACAGCCCTGCTTGGTACTCTGTCATATTCAGCTCAGAAGGAATATGAAGAAATTAGTTACCAGAATTCCCGGGGGTGGAAACAAAAAGTGTTACGTGTTACGTTCATAAAGATAGCCGAAGACGTTTTCAACTTCAGTGACCACACATTCACTCCCAAAACATGAGGGAATCACTATACCTTCTAACCACATGGCTTCATGTTAAGAAAACCTGTCTTTCCACCTGACCCCCACCCCCAGGAAAAAAAAAAAAAAGTTTCTGAAACTTTAGAAAAATTCAGCCTAAAATAGATACCAGACATATGGGGGGGGGGGGGGGGGGGGGTGGGTGTCAA